CAGGTAGTTAATTTGCCCAGTACAGCTTACCCAGCGCTGCCCAGTACTAAAGTGCTCATTAGGAAGGGCGCTATGTTTCCAGTTTATAAGCTATGGTATAGTCGTTATGTGCTGCTTAGAAGAGCCCTTGCGCTGAATACCCGCATTTTGCAAAACAGACCGTCCCTCAGCAGGTTGACAAGCGATTTGAAAACAGGCCAGCTTATGCAGGCAAACTTTATGGATCAATTTATTAATGTTAGTTCATTGATTGATTGCCACATGCGAACGGAACGCGACCTGTACCTAGCGGCAGCCTATTTTACTGAAAGCCGCCAACGTTCGCTTCGTTGAGCGGCATAATGCTTGATTAATCATGCACTATTTACTAATTGGTAACTGTATTTTCAGACCGAAAAGCCCAGTTAGCTGGTGTTGTCTTTTTGGGGTCTTTTCACTCATTGGCTGTAATCAACCGGCTATGCAAGTGCTTGGTTCATCTACTAGGCTGACAAGTGCCGTGGGGAATAACTGGGTAAAAGGGGTTCGAACCAAGCCTGGTTCCCAACTGATATCCATTGTTGGTATATATGGGCAATACTGGAAATTACCGGCTGATTCTGTTTGGGGGTACCGGACTAAAAAGGGTGAAACGTATCGGCTTTGGGAAGCTGATCGGTACGAGGTAAGGCAGCAAGGGGCCTTGATAGTATACCGTTTACAAGCCTGGGGAACTACTGCCGGGGACTATCACTATTTCAGTCTGACACCTACTAGCCCTATATATGCTATAAACAAGCGAATTTGTCGGCAAGTCTTCAGCCAGAATGAGTGTATGGTGGAGTTGCTGAATCAACTAACCAACGGGCAGTTAACCGATACCGATTCGCATGGTTCCTTTGGCCTGGTTAACTCGTATCTCTTTTGTCTTTCTATGAAAAAGGGATACTGAAAATAGGTTCACATCCTTACACAGCGCAGCTGACAACTACCAATAGCGGGACGATAGCATAGCGTCAGTCCAGAGGCATCCGAGCTTAAACGCTCAAGCTGGTCTAGGCAAAAAACGAAACCACCAGTTGGACGATTGACTAAAAAGCAACGGACTGAACAGCAAACAAATCATCGATAAAACGACGGTCGTAATTCACATAAGGATAAATAAATAGGAACATGCGGGCCGCGATTTAGGGTAGGCGCTACACCTTTACCGAATCGTCTTTCAGTACATCCTGAACGTAAAGCATCTTGACCAGAACCATGATAATGGCCATCAGAGGGGTAGCCAGCGCTACGCCCATGAGCCCCGAAAAAAGGCCAATGATTAATTGAGAAAGTAACACTAGTGCTGGCGGCAGAGCGATAACCCGCTGTTGAACCAAGGGCGTCAGCACGTTGCTTTCCACAAACTGGATACTTACGTACAGCAACCCGACGTAAAGCGCTTGCTGGGGACCCTCCAACAGGGCAAACAAGACGGCTGGGATCAAAGCCAGAATGGGGCCAAAGTTGGGAATAAACGAAATTAGGCCAGCGAAAAGAGCCAGTGCCCCCGCCAGCGGAATGCCCAGCAGCCACAGACCTACAAATGTCAGAATGCCTACAACCGTCATGGAAAACAGCTTACCACCCAGCCAGCCCAGTAACGTTGTGCCCAGTTGATCCAGTACCTGTTTAGCCCGTTGACGACCCGGCTTGGGAATGAGTAGAATCAGGCCCTGCTGGTAGAGACCTGGTTGAGCCGCC